TTCTCTTTTCCCCCCCCCCCCCCTCCCTCTTTACGGCTTTACGAGAGATTAGAGGTTCCATTTCCGCGAAAAACGTGAGAAGAACCTGCAGAAATTACTGTCACCGCCTGGTTGGAGCGAAGCGAATTCGCACACGTGACAACACTCGATCTCGGACGTTCGAGAGGTCTGATTACAAGGAGGTAACAAAGTACTCGCACATATATAAAGCCGGCTCCACACGATGCGGCAAATGTGAGCGAACGTAGGCGATCATATCGATCACGTATGTCGGGCGAATGTAAAACGTGATCTACAGTGCAAAACAGCAGGAATATGTTTATAAGAAATACGTAGGTAAAAAAGTAAGAAATTACCCAATCATAATAGATTGTTCTCCTTACATTCGAATATGATTGGTCAACTTCGTATTCTTACTTCTTACGAATATACTCCCGCTGCCGATCGTAGGACTACGCTTTAACGTACGTGAGAACGTAACAAATGTAACATAACGTAACATACGTGATCACGACGTAATTTCCGACATTCGCCTACGTTTCATTAACATCGTGTGGGGCCGGCTTAATATCGAGGCACCGTGCAAATCAACACTTTCGCCGGGCGATTAGCGGATCAAAGGAGTAATCGCGTGGATTTATCGCGTCGCAAGAGAGAAAGAGAGAGCCGGACATTCAGTCGGTCATAACTCGAGGCACATCATACGGTTTTACGACGACGCGGTAATCTCAGTAGCATCTGTGTAATTAGATATAATTAGAGCGTGTGCGGGTCTCTATTCCGCAACGTAACCGCCTCCCTCCCTCCCTCCCTCCCTCTCCCTCTCCTCCCCCTTCCCTGTCGGCGGTCGTCGTTTCCTGTACTTCCATCATTGAAGCACGCTCCGTGCGGATGAGCCTGGAGTGCACTTCGCACGGCGACGACTTCTCGCCACCCCACGTTCCACGAGAAAGAGGTGCCCCGGAACACACTCTCCGCGCGGTGGTGACGCTTAAGTGACACTTCAACGCAACGCAATTACTACGCCGCGCGCCATCAAATCCCGCGCGCTCCAGTTGCAACGCTGCGCGACATTGATACCACGACGAGTGTGCCACACGATAATCTATCTCTACATCCTGTCCGCAGTTTATCAATCGACGCTCCCCCCTCCCTCCTCCCCTCCCCGGTGAAATTAACGTAAAAAGTCCTCTACCTGTTCGCCGTCGGGGAGGGGAGGGGAGCGGACGCGCGTAAACAGAACGAGGCGAAGGATGTTGATTGAAATCAAAAACAGGCGAGTAAGAGCCGAGCACACACGGTTGTTTCGTGCTGGTATTTTTAATGATACTTGTTCGGGAGAATAGACTCTCAACGTACGTTGAAAATCGGACGGAATGTCGGCGAATGTCATCATCACACTGTCGAACATATTTGACCTCCCCAAGTAAATATCGTTAAAAAAAGAAATCTATTCGCACAGAACGGCCGTGCTTGGTTCTTACTTGTTTAATCTAACTTCTAACCATTTGATACGATGATAGCCTGTTACAACATAGAACGTTAATTGAATTTCCTCCGACGGAAGCACGGCGGTGTTCGCGTGTATCGTTGTTTCGTTGTCGCGTTGTCATCGAGAAAGAGAGAGAGAGAGAGAGAGTCACGCGTAGGAGATCCGAATCTCGGGCGAGACGGATTCGAGAACGGGCCGACTTCCGAGCTGTGGCGAACTTGAATCCGTATTCTCGGAGATCGCGTGCCACGCAGAAGCAAAACGCGAAGCCCGTAACAAGCTCTCTCTTTCTCTCGTGATTTCTCCTTTCCGCAAAGCGTGTTGTTTAATCGACGGTCTGAAAGTTAAGCCTTTTCGAGTTGCGAGTTTCCGCGAGTTTATCAAGGGAGAGCGCTTAGCCCCGATGTATTAATTGCGTATTTATCGTTGTTATCGCCAGTGTGGTGGTCTACCTGGAGCCTGGCACGGGCGTGAACGTGACGCTGAGGGCGAACTACACGGACATGGAGGTGCCGTACACCGCCGACCTGATCTCGCATTACGAGGACGGCGCGACTACGTGCCGCCTGATCAGCGGCACGCGTCGGGAGGAGTCCATGTTCGACATCGTGCCGGAATTCGGACCTGTCTACTTCCTCAGCAATTACAGCCTGGTGCCGACTACCGTGCCGCCGCCCGCCACGGAACCGACCACCATCATCAGCAGCACGACGACGACCGTGATGACGACGAGGCAGCCGCAGGAGACGGGCAAGACGACGCACCGACACCGGCAGATGAACGACGACGCGAACAACGACGAGAACCTGATCATACCGCATAAGAAGACGGACATATCGACGGGCATGCAGAACGACGACGGCGGCCCGCTCTCGCTCAAGGACAAGGTTGAGGTGGTGTACGGGGGCGCGTGCGGCGCGCTCAAGTCGAGCCTGCTATTACTGACGCTCGCCCCGATGCTCCTGCTCGTCCTCCACAGGATCACGTGAAGGCCCGACGCGCACAGACCCGTCTCTCTAACGCTAATTCCTCTAATTCCCGCAATAGTAAAGTTAATGTAATCCAATAGTAGAGATATATCGACACACACACGAGAGGAAGAGAGAGGAAGAGAGAGAAAGAGAGAGAGAGAGTATCGAAGACGAGAGATTAAGAGAGAAAAGAGAAAAGCAGAAAAGCCAAAAAAAGAAATTACTACTTTACGCGAGAGAAGAAAATTGCTGTAATTTCGTACGTAGCAAAATATTTGTCGTACGGCGCGAAAGAAGAAACCTCCTTGTTTAAAAAAAAAAGATACACCGCTACTGAACGTCGACGCATCGTGATGCCGACGTTATATGCTTGCCTTTAAAGAGAAAAACTCGATATTTAATATATATTATATATATATATAAATTATATATATATACATATACACATACACGCATACCCATACATGTACACATACACACGTCCCTTTTAGGATAGAACAGAGAGAAAGAGAAAGAGAGCGAGAAGGAGAAGTATCTTCGTGATTAAGGAAAGAGCTAGTCTCACGACGACACGAATCAAGTACAAGAGAGATCGCAGTGACCGATGTGGGTGAGAGGTTGATTACGCGGAGCGTTAACGTTACACACGTTATCGTCGCACAGAGCGTAAGTGTTAAACTCTGACATTCCGTCTTTTCTAATCCCGCTGTGAATCGACTTTCCAGCTAAAAATATGTCTTATGCCTTCGTAAAGTGTAATTCTAGATCATCTAGGAGATTAATCGCTTCGAGAAATAACGGCACATTCTTTTTCGAGGGTTGTGTCTGGGGTACGAGAAAGAGAGAGAGAGAGAGAGAGAACGCTATTAATTAACGCGAATAAGTGTTTCGGATAAGCAGTAGCGTATACGTCGAGCCAGGAGGAGAGATGAGTAGAAGTTTATAAGCGCGACGGAGAAAGAAGAACAAAAGGAAAAAAAAAGGACGGGAAGAAGAAGAGATGCGAGTTAATTCAGCTACAATATATATTTTTGAGATTGCCGAATATAATTTTAGAAGATTGTAAAATTTATATAAAGCGAGGTAGCAAGTAAGGAAACCACATAGAAGTAGGAAGGTGGATGGGTACACGTTCTCTCTCGCGGTACTAATTTAAGTTCCGCGGCTGCATCAGCGAAACGCTACGAACTCTACTTGGTTGACCCGCAACGACCGGTTGCGATAAAACGGTTTCAACTGTATGTACGTTTACGAACGTTCGATGAATTACGTGTAATTAACACGCATAAGATATTATTTTCAAGATATTTATGGTAACACTGTGTGTGTGTGTGTGCACGCGTTAATTCTTTCCTGGCTTTAAGTAGAAGCAGTTCGATATATATATATATATATATATATATAATATATATATATATATAAAACAATTCGTGATGTACCCATCTATTGCCAGTTTAAAGTGATAGGATCGTGCAGATTTCCTAAACTACTGTTGACGTGAGGATTGCGAAAGAACGAGAAGAACCACCATTGGTACGCATAACGTACATATATATAAATATATCTCGATAATTCCTCAATAAGGGTAGAATATTTTGGTACGCGTACGGAAGTACGATTGTATTGTGTATTGAAATTCTTTTAAGTTCGATATATTCGAAGGAAGACTTCTTTTTGGTTCGCTCAAAGGCGACTGAAAGCGGCGAGAACGCGGGATTTTTCATATGTGGTTGCGTTGTCAGCGTTTTTTGAAGTATTCGTATGTATATAATATTGTATTTCTATTAATCTTCGATATAGTTGTAATTATGTAGTAAGCTTATTTAACGGTTTATAGTTTTTCCTTTATCGAATAGCGGCGTTTCGAGTATAAATTCTTTATACTTTGTCATTAACCAATGAAACGAGAACCGTAGGATTAGCGCGAGACACTCATATTTCGGACTAAAAAAGAAGAAGGGAAAGAAGGACGCGGACTGTGTCTTCTAACGTACACACGCACGTACGTTTTATCGACGTAAGCCTAATCACGCTTGTTGTGATATCCAATAAAACCTTGCGTAAGCACGAGATAGAAGAGAAGAGGGGAAGGTTCTGTCGTGTGTGCGATACGTTAATTACGAGAGAAAGCAATAATAACGTTGCGAGAGACGTTGAGAGAGACTTGCGTATATGAGAAGAAAAGCGATAAGAAAAAGAAAGCGTCTGCTAAACAAATGCAAATAAAATTTCTGTTATCAAATTGTGCGGACAGTATTTCCTCCTTGCGAATAAACTGGCAAAACGGGAACGGCATACGAGTTAGTGTAAGTTTGAGGGAAGGAAAGGAAGAGTGAGAAAGAGTAAAGCAGAACGCCCAGAAGCCGAAATCACAAAACGTATTCTATGGTCGCTTCTTGATAATTCTATATGCCGATAGTAGGAAGACAGAATAAATGTCCTACAGAGAAAAACCTAGCTATTTGACTTCGGCAGAGCCAAGAACTGTTCTAAAAAAAAAAGTATCTCTATATCTAACACAAATGTATTATTTGTGAATATGCTGCGCTGTATTGTACATTATCATGTAAATATAACTGTGTACATATAAAAAAAAAAAAAGGCAGATTTCCCATTTGGCTTCAGCTTCCTTCAACCAATCGACCGAATTATTTGTGACTTGAATTATATACTAGAGAGAGAGAGAGCCTATATCTTCTTAATTACAGAAACATGGCCGGAAACCATAATTTCCCGCGAGAAAAATGCATCGTACAACATCAAAAGATAGTAAGTATCCCTTACATTAAAATCTTGAGAGGCTTTCTAAAGTTTGTCTATTTTCTTATCAGTCTCGCACAAATATCTTTCTCTTGTCTCCTAAATCTTAGTAGAAGAGAGAGTAATAAAAAAATACGTAAAAATCCAAGTATCTTCTGAGTAACAAGATGATGGTATTATAGTGTCAATTTCAATCATTTCTTTTTTCTATGTATAAAACGCATTATAAATTAGATTGATATTAAGATGTCAAGAACTTACCGAGTACACCGTATTGTTGCGGAGTGAGTCTAACATCGTCGTCCGGAACGCCAGGTACAGATGAAATGAGCGACGCGCGATCACTAATGTGACTCTTAGTGCTAGCTTCGCTTCTCCTCGCCCAGGATACTTGTGACAACACATCTAAATATTTGATACAAAAATATCTACATTGTTTTGCTGTAACTTAATTTGTCCATAACATAAATATTGATTGTATTACTATTAAGTAATACTGATTAATTTAAGTAACAAATATAACGATATTACCAAAGTTAGAAGCCTTGGTCGCTAATCTTTGTTTGTAGTCCCTGTAAGGCCTTCTGGATGGAGGTGGTCTTCGTCGTCTCTTCAAAAACTGCGCCAGTCCTCCTAATAATATTGATCCACCGGCAAAGCAGATAATAATAATCTAGGGAAGGAAATAAATGTACTTGAAAAAATTACTGAATAAGGAGACTCGAATAATAATGACAAAACACACGTGCCGTTATTACACCGTTACATAATTTATGTTTATATTATATTATGTAATGAACGAGCGAAACTAGCGAATGTATTTATTTTAACCTCGAATAAGCGGTGGTTTGCTCACTTTTTGCATACGAGACACGTGTATCGACGGTAACATCATTGTGCACTGTTGATGGAATGTTCCGAAAACCTGCCACAAATTGTCTCCGAACATTGTCATTTAATTCACTGTAAACAACGTCAATCAAATCGCTTACGCGTACCGCTAACCAAATTTTCACGTGTACTGCTTGAGACCGAGTAAAGCAGAATGAAGAGTGTGATGTAACGTAATGGAACAAGTTAGCCTGTAAATAGGTTAATCACAGACGAACGACTTCGTGAGATTTCTTTGAGCTACTAAATATCCCTCCCTCTAAACGGAAACTGTAAAATCATTAATGTACAACGAATTGATATAAAACGTTCATTAAGAAATGAATAAAAAAATGTTAAAACTCAAAGTTCCTTCTTTCAGGTGCATCTGTCATATTTTCGATAAAAGGTAACATTTAAAGTAATAATTCAAGCGAAAGGTGAGATTGAAGATTGAACAACCTCCGTTTCACATTTAACTCGATATATCTTAGCAATAAACAACAGTAGCATAATAAATCTGATATTTTTGAAAAGTAGAGATTTCAATCTTTAAAATACTATGCGGACCATTTTATTATCATATTATTTTTGGCGAAGTTATAGCCCGTTGAATTTTTGCGAATATTTCGTATAATACAAAATGATGTAGTTGAATAATTTTTTTCTACTACTTGAGAATTGAAAGAGGCTGATTTAACTATCGTTGAATTGTACAGTAGACATAATAAAAAAGTCTACTAAACGTGAAAAACATAAATGTTCGCTCATTGAGGATGCGTCGTACGAGCTTATCGAACGTGCTGATTGGCTATCGGTTAGAGAATTTCTAGAGTCCTAAACATTTTCTTTAGATGTAATACTATCCTCAATGAGCGAACATCGATGTTTTTCAAACTGTTTATTAGAAGAACAATCGATCGTGGTTGATCAATTTACTTACTGTTTACGTCTTAAGCGTAGTCTACAATAGGAATATGTTCACAAGAAGTAAGAATAAGAAATCGACCAATCATATTCGAATGCAAATGGAATAATCGACTATGATTGGTTAATTTCTTACTCTTACTTCTCAATTCTAATGCAGCAATTGTAGCTGAAAGAATGAATCTGAGGAGAAAATCGCTCAACCAAAAAAAAATAACAAATATTAGCAAAATAATTTATTATTTCTCGCATTTTCTCTATCATAATTACAAATATATATTTAGCCTCCCCTATTAAATCCTGAACTTTCATAACAAGATGGAATTTGACGAGGTGATAAAAATAAACTTATAATTCTTCTAGGTAAAAGAGACATATCAAATATTAAATGGCATTTCCGATATATACTTTCACTACTGAAAATCCATAGTTCATATACTGTAGATTTTCAGTACTGGCGGTCAGAGTATCAAAACGAACTTCTTCGACAACTGCAATACAATTACATATCATCCCAATCGCAGGGATCGAAGAGTGCCCCATCAACTTCAATCAATTCTTCTTTAAATTCATCCAAGTTGAAGGAAGTGGATGCCAAGTCTTCCATGGGTGAACAATTCTCTTCTTCCTTAGAAGAAGAAGGCGAGATGCTCACAAAAGAACTCAAGTCTTGCTGTCCAATTTGTTTCTGCACCGAAATATCAATATCCTTTATCGTTAAATCTTGCTCGAGGCCGACTGCATTTAGAACGTTCAACTTCTTCTTAAGTAACGGCCATATGTGGTCATCGGCGGTATTGTTTGCCACTAAATACTGAATTATGACGTCCTTATTCTGTCCGATTCTGTGGACTCTGTCTTCCGCTTGGCACATAATCTGAAATAATTTCACGGAGATGAAATGTTAGAAATAAAAAAAAAAAGGACCTGGACGTACAGTAATACTAATGATATTAAGATATAAGGAATATTGATTACACCAGGATTCCAGAATAATTCAGTGAAAACTACGTGATGAGCGGCCGTTAACGTAATACCCGCGTTTGCGGCGGTGAGCGACAGAACAGCTGTCAAGTAATCGTCGTGCTTTTGAAACTTGTCGACTTGATATTTCCTCTGCTCCGAAGTGGTTTTACCATCGATCCTTATGTACCTGAAAATTGTCATATATGTTGCCACATATGATGTGGTACATAGTAACGTAAGTTTAATGTAAAAATTAATTTACCGTATCTTCATGGATTCAGCAACGTTGCAGATAGCGTCCAGAACACTCTGATGATGAGCGTACAAAAGGCACTTTATCTTCCGTTCAAATAAATTCTTTACATGTGCGCTACAATGTAAAAGCGCTCGACTTACATTGATGTAACTCTGAAGAAATACATACAAGTCTACGTACCATACCGCCCTGAGTCTTGCAATACTGGACTCGGTGTAATATTGCAACAGGACATTGTGCCTCTCCAGGCCCGTGGTATTTTTTCGCATCTGTTCAAACTTGTCTCGCATCTCCCTAGTACCGGCTTTAATTAAGTCTGGATTTAAGATAACCATTTGTCTGAAACGAACAATACCTAACATGTAGATTAAAACTCTGTGTACGATCGGAAAATTATTCACATCCATGAAAGAGCTATTATAGCTCTCAAGACCTTATTTTAGAGGGCAACTGATGTAATATATCGACTTTCAGCCGTCGGATCATGCAAGTTATTCTCAGCAGCAATTGCAATTCTTGCATATTCGAGAAGCCCGTGAAATCCCAACCGAAATTATTCTTCTGTCCTGCACAGTACCTCAAACCATATTCTTCGTACCTGCAACATAATACTTTTGAAAATTCTGCACGTACATATACGGGGTATTCCTTAAGTACCCAGCCACACTCGAGGGGGCGATTCTTTGGTTCATTTCAAATAAAAAAGATCATATAAGCATGCGTCCCAAATGGTTTAGTTTCCGAAAAACAAGGTGTTGAAGTTTTCAGGAAAATGTAAATGTCGCACATTCAGAACACATGTTCGTATGAATTTCTTTTACTTAAGATAAACCAAAGAATCGCCTCTTTGAGTATGGCTAGATACTTGAGAAGAATACCCTGTATAATTTACATATCAATCAGGCATACGAAGTGACTATCTAATTATCTGTTTACTCACTTCATAAAGCGTGGCATGATGAGACTGATCTGTGAATACAGTTCGATCGGCCTCGACAAAGCTGGCGTTCCAGTGAGCAGCACGACATGACGTGCCTGGGCGCATATCCGTTGAGCTGCTTGGAATCTTGCAGTTTTACTGTTCTTCAGCACATGAGATTCATCCTAAGATTTACAAGGTGATGAGGAACGATATTCACCGTTGATTTGTAAAACAACACTCACTCACCAGAATAATAAATCCATAAATATGTTTCTCGAAAACATCAACAGCTCGATGTAATAAGTCGTACGATATGATAGTGACTTTTTCGTCTCCGATATAATCCTTTGTATTTGCAAAATGATGAACGTAGTGCGTAGGTATGGACGGTAAGAATTGGTAAATTGCCTCAGACCACTGGAACCTAAATAGTACTTTTATTTTATCTTATATAACATCGTTGTAGGGGTGCTTTCTATCACTTGTATTACACAACACTTACCTGACAGATGAAGGAACTACAATTAGAAGCGGCCAATTTGTCCTGAAGTAACATGCTATGCCTAACGCTTGTATAGTTTTCCCCAATCCCATATCATCTGCGATTAAGCAACGACCTCCTTTGGATATGCCGTAGCTAAAGCCAATTTATAATATATTACTATCAGAAGTTGCTATAATATATTACTAAAGAAGAAATATGTAACAAAATCAAGTAAAAAATCACCATATGCCATCTCGCTGAAACGGCATCAAAGTATCCATCAGTGTTTCATCAATTTTCGACAAATCTGGCTCTGGTGTTTGGCTGTCTTTTTCTGACTTTAAGTTTTTTTTGAATATCTAAAACAGTAATATTTCAGACAATGCTTATATCTGTGCTATTTGTGTTGATGCATAAATTACCTGGAAGACAATTTGAGGAATTCTTGTTACAGATATTTTAGACTCATGCCCAACTAATTTCTGCATCAGGTGGTCGTAATCATTTATGTGAAAATTCCATATCTTAGAATTTGGATCTGTAAAATGAAAGGAATACATGTAAATACCGAAGGTATATAATTATCATATAAAGATTATATATCTTCTAGTCTAATTGATTCACAATTACCATATAATTTGCTTGCAACTGTTTTAAATGTTTCAATAATTGCAGGTACATATAACGATGTTTCCAATGCGAATCTGTCGTCGCTAATCATGTAACACTTCCCAGTTACAGATTTCGATGATGTAAAGAAATTCCTTGGCTCTATAGGATTGAAACGGTTGTTCGATTTGTGATGTCTCACAACATTTGTATTATAATTGGGACTTATCTTTTTATGAACAGGACTATTAGGTACATTATTTTGTGCCTTCAGTTGGGATTGGTTTCTTCTTTGCAATGCTAATAAGCGCTTTTTCTCAATTTCTTCCAGAGAACACATTTTGCCTAAAAATTATTTGTCAAATATTATTTCGCAATATTATTCTACCAAAAATAAAATATTGCCTTTGGAAGAAGATCGTACTCATTCTGTCCGATTATGTTCTCCACCAAGCGTTTCTTGTGTGATAAGTACAAAAAATTAATATTTTGTCTTTCCTTGTATCGCATGTGAACAACACTTAATTATATAAATTATTGCAACACCGTTATTAATACCATCGCAACATTGTGTTACTTAAAAATAATGCAAATTACATTTAAGTGGATCTAATCGCCCACGACAGAAACATTTCAAAAAATCTTAACCAAAAAACAATCAGACGTGATCTGTTTTGTTTACATTAAATAAATTAACCGTCATATTGTGGTTACTCTTGCCAGTTCGGCTCTTTTTGAGTGAACTATATTAAATTCTCAATAATTATAGTGTGATTACAGTGTGATCAGACTAATTACAGTGTGATAAATAAGTTTGACATTCCATGGAAAGGAAAGGAAACGATAAACATTACAATCGAGTATAAAAGAAGTGCAGTTAAAAAGTACAGAGTTTTTAAACTTTTGTTTCCAATCCCCTATAGATGGCGCTGCGAAACTATAGCCAGAACATAGACGAAATAAATCGTAGATCAGCAAGCTGGTGAAATTTCTTACAGACATGAAGTGTCTCCTTCCCAGATATCTTTCTCCTATCGTCACTTGCAATACTGGAATGTTGATATCAGACAATTGACGGCTCCATCGCAAGGTCATGGACGATAGGTCGTCGATAAATTAACCTGTGTATATCTGTGTCTTCTTTCATTTATATTCTATACAAGACGGTCTGTACACAAGGAGAATTTTGCATTGGCCTCGTCCCGAGATACACCTTGTCGAAATATTGCGAAGTAAAAATTTTCTTTTTACTAAGTATTATCAATTCACGGCAAATTCGCGAAATTGGAGTTATGATAGTGAATAACATAAGGGCGAGCATATATAATTCAGCCTAATAGTACGCCTCAAACAAAATGCTCTCAGTGACGAAACTACAACTTGTTTTGTGCTAACAACATTTATTAATATTGCAGCTAAATCTTTAAGTATATTCATCATGTCAACACCACAATTTCCTGTGAAAGAAGTACAATTATTACGTATGTATTTTCCACTAAATATATATATATTTACTTTATACTTCTCTCTCTCTCTCTCTCTCTGTTTACATGTCAAGAAGTGATTTGGTTACAATTTTTACTGTTAGATATCAGATATAATTAAACAATAAGAATCTGACAATTCTGATTATATTCAATTAAAACAAAGGATGATAAGATGGACAAATAAGAATTAACTGCTGGCTTTTTATTGTGTTTAAGAAGTACAATGTAACTTATTATTCTAGCTGATCACCATGAATTTGTTGTGCCAAAGAAAGGTATCAAAGTACCAACAGACATAACAGTTTGGGAAAAGTCAGAAGCATACTTTGTAAGACAACTTTTGCAATGTTTATTATGTTTACGCCAGAACTTTTTTCAGTTATATATGAAGTATGTTTCATATATAATAATTTTGTACTAATGTTCCTGCAGATAATAAAATTTTATTTTTATAGGAATACTTAGGATTTATCTTAGCATTGAATGAAGCTGTCCAAGGTAAAGCTTTGGAGGCGGAATGTTCCGAGTCTCCACTGGTAAACGCTGTTATACAGATGTTAAACAAATTTGACGAGTGGGTAACAGAAATCCCACCTACTGAACAGCCACAAAGATTCGGTAATAAGTCATTTCGCACGTGGCATAAAAGACTGCAGCAGGTCTGACATTATTTTACTTAAGGATTCGTCCAAACTTGAGTATTTTCCCTTGATGATTGATGTTTCTTAATTTCAGGACGGAGCCGAAGAGCTGAAACAAGTGTTGCCGGAAAATTTGCATCGCGCAGTCCCAGAGGTAGTTCAATATTTGTACGAGAGTTTTGGCAATCCAACTCGCATAGACTATGGCACCGGTCATGAAATGGCTTTCCTCATGTTTCTCTGCTGCGTATTCAAGATAGGTGCGTTCAAGCAGGAGGACAAAGTTGCTGTTGTTATAAAAGTCTTTAACAGGTACTCTTTAGCATATTATTATTGTTAGATGGCTCGAGGTTTTCCTTTGAATTAATGAACCGTCCAAATCGTTTATCTTGCATTGTGTGTTTAAGATATCTTGAATTGGCACGTAGACTTCAGTTGACGTACCGCATGGAACCAGCAGGTAGTCACGGTGTTTGGAGTTTGGACGACTACCAATTTGTACCTTTCATATGGGGAAGCGCTCAGCTCATTGGTATCGATTTTTGCACATATTATTTCTATTTACTTTTTACTGATATTAGAATAATCGAAGAATAGTAAATGTGATGTGTGCTTCGTTTAGAATATCTGCAACAGATATTCTTATTTCATGTTCGACCTAATGTTTCAGGACATCCTCGGATAGAACCACGTCACTTCACAGATCAAGGAATCGTACAGTCTTACAGCAAGAAATACATGTTCCTCGGCTGCATCGAATTTATTTCAAAGGTATGAGAACTCACACGGAACTCGACAAGTTTACCTTGCGTATTTATTGATGCGAGAGATTTGACGTTTTATCTTCTCTAAAATTGAGTGTTCTACATTTCGATACTAATTGCACGGTTAGGTGAAAACAGGGCCATTTGCCGAACATTCAAATCAGTTGTGGAACGTTAGCGCGGTATCCTCATGGTCGAAAGTGAACAGTGGCCTCATCAAAATGTACAAAGCAGAGGTAACTAGAAATTTATTTTTCCAAGGATATATACAGCACGGATTATCTCGTGTTTCGTGAGAGAAAGATACGGATAGAGAAAAACTCTCATTATTACTTGTTATTACGTTATCGTTTTCCAGGTGTTATCGAAATTTCCCGTTATCCAACACGTCTTCTTCGGTTCCTTGCTGCCGTTAACGCCAATGAATCCCCCTCCGAATTACAGAGAAGCTCGTCTCAACGAACCACTGTTAGGCAAGCCAGAATAACGAGATTGAATACCGAAGAGATAAATAGTAATTACGTTTGTTACTGTGGGTCGCACGCGCGCGCGCGCGTTACCACGCTTCCCAGTATTTATAATAAAACACTGTACATTCTTATTATCTCTTCCCATAGTGGTTCTCCGGGCTTTTAATCATTTCTTCTTATGTCGAACAAATGCATATATATATTAATATATATTTAATATGCACATGCAGAAATAAATATCTCTGTACGTCGTAAGGTAAATGGAAGTACTGTTCCGCCGAAAACCGCGTTTTTCTTTTTGGTAATCAATAAAACAAGTTGCAAAAAGATATCTATACTTTTCAGGGTGGGGCGTTTTAATGAGGTTTTTATGTAACAATTTCAGTTTTATTTCCTGCCGTATTTATTTTTTCTTTACACGTCTCACATTGTCATTTACGTTAGTCGTGAGATCGGAATAAACGTTGACGAAAATGAAGAAATAAATTCATAGGCACGTTGACAACGTGGTCAGGAAAAGCACGTGGAAATAGAAATTCGGCTATACACGCGGCCATATGTTCTCTTTCCGACTATACTGTGGTAATTGGGAACGCGTATCACGCCAAATTCGCTCTTGTTCTGATTGGCTTCTTTTCTGCTTTTTGTTTTTCTGTCAAGGTGCGAATTCTCTCTGACATGAACTGTAGACTTTCAGCGCTGGCAGTAAATTTTCGAATACAGCCCTGATTGGATCGATAGTAACCTAACCTGTACCAACGTTTAGCGTAGGAGGCCGGACAGTAAGCGGCCCATAATTGAGTGCGGTGAACCTAACCTATACGTATTATGTTTAACCTCGCAAGTCAAACCGCATAAACAAAATCCTATATATTGTAGAAATCTGTGGAAATAATAAAAGACTTAGTACAATTAATCACGATGCCTAGGATACTGATTTTTACGTTATTTTTTATAAATTTTTACGTCGCATTTTGCCGAGATATCGATATCGACAATAACGGATATATTATTTACTGTCCCTGCATGGGTAAAATTTCAATTCTTAACGGCATTAGCTCTCACGATTGTTATTTAATATAAATGTTAATAAGCTTTGTACGCACACACACACATACACACAACCGTCATTTCAGGACGTTTCGGCAATCAAGCGGATCACTTTTTAGGAGCTTTAGGTTTCGCTAAGTCTTTGAATCGCACCTTGGTATTACCACCATGGGTCGAATATCGCACAGGAGAGACGAGATCAGTGAGTACAAATTAAGTCTTATTTCTGTGGAAATTATATATATATATAATTTCCTTGTATCTAACGCACGTTAAATCGATCTTATTTTTAGAGACAAGTACCTTTCGACACCTATTTTAACGTGTCACAAGTACAAAGTTGTCACAAGGCGTTACTGATGGAAAACTTCATGAGGGATGTCGCACCAAGCATATGGCCTCCTGAGGAAAGAGTATGTAAGTTCTAAATACAGATCCCTCGAGAATCAAAGCCATTTTTTCATCCTTACTGTTCCTTTCAGCTTTCTGTTACTCCCCTCGCGGCAAGGAAGGGGATTCCTGCAAGGCTAAGGATGGAAATCCATTCGGGCCATTTTGGGACACGTACAACATAGATTTCGTCAAGTCCGAATTTTACGGTCCACTTCACTATGAAATGTATCACACTGACATGAAGATACAATGGCGCAAACGATATCCAGCGGTAACTTGGCCGGTGATGGCGTTTACAGGTGCTCCCGCGAGCTTCCCGGTGCAATACGAGAACAAGAAGCTTCACGCGTGTCTCAATTGGAACGCCAACATGCTGGACAAGGCCAAAAACTTTATAAAGAAAACACTGCCGAAAGGCGCGTTCGTGGGCATACATCTGCGGAATGGATTTGATTGGGTAACGTGTTCTCAAATAGATTTCATTCCGGGATCGTTTCTTACGCAAAGAAGAAGATATTGATTTTCCACTCTCCATCCTCATCCTTTCTTTTCAGGTACGCGCCTGCGAATTTATTTCGACCACGCCGAATCTTTTCGCCGCCCCTCAGTGTCTGGGATATCGTAATGAGCGTGGCAAGGCAACCCCGTCCATGTGTCTGCCGTCGTTCGACTTGATAGTGCGCCATTTGAAACGCGTCATTCGCAACAGCAACGACGTGAAATCGGTGTTCGTGGCGTCCGACGGGAACCACACGCTCAACGAACTCGGGAGAGCCTTGGCACGCATGAAGGTAAGCGTCGTTTGTCACGTCGATGCCGCGACCGATCATCGACCGTGTCTCAAACGTTCTCTCGTCCTTCTCACAGATACCGGTATTTCGGCAAGAACCGCCGGCCTCGCCTCACCTGGACTTGGCCGTTCTCGGGCGGGCGAACTACTTCATAGGAAATTGCATCTCCTCCTTCTCCGCTTTTGTGGCTAGAGAAAGAGAAGTCAAGGGATTCCCGACTTACTTCTGGGGCTTCCCCAACGAGAGATCCTCCATATCTCACGAGGAATTGTAATGCCAATATTTCATTCAGTTCGTGTGTCGAACGTAAGTGACTGAAGATTTTTAATACAACGTGATAAGCTTCTAATTCAACATGTATATTTAATTATAAGTTAATAATATTTTTAACNTATATATATATATATATATATTATATATATATATATATATTAAGTGTCGAGAAAAGTTCGTGCGGTTTCCTCGGAAAGTTACATTTATGTCGTATTGGTATACACGATGTGCAGCTTTCGATTCCGTTTCAATCCGCGCGAACTTCTTCCGGCACCCAATATAATAACGCATACATAATTATTTAAAATTATATTCCATATGCTAGACAAGCTGAGCAATTCGTCAGAGTGGTATCTCGCGAAATACTTTCAATCTTGAACGTTTGATCTTCGTTGTAAAAAATGTATAAAACTAACGTTCACTCGGCTCGAATCTCTCTCTTTCTCTCTCTCTCTCTCTCTCTCTCTCTCTCTTGTTATATTATAAAGGTAACAATATACAAAAATAACGTATGAAACTCTACTGAAGGAAGACTTCTAAACTCGGCAAGGAACGACTCCGAACGATATCCGTTGATGATTACTCGCTCGCTATGTCTCGCATGTCGCACAATGTCTGCTGTAAAACGCGAGCGAATTCTTTCGTATTGGTCCCCTCGCAGGATCTGAACGAAGAACAGGCGAACAGTATGTTCTTCTGTCGCGGATTGTAGCAGCAACCGTAACCGTCGGGGACAACTGGTCCGTAGCACATAAACGATGCCGATTTATACGGTACCTGCGACCGGCAAGAATATTAATCAGCGACCGTGTCTCTCTCTTGATGAGAACGATATTTTACAATACAATGAGAATTCAAGGCGTAAGATTTAAGAAACTGACCAATCAGAACTGGTTTTTCTTCTATGATTCGACGTGTGATCGGTCAATTTCTTAGGGCTTAGAGCTTAAAGCATGTATTGTAGCCCGGGACTCACCTGGCTCGACGTTAAAGTGAAATACGTGCTTCTGGTGTAACCGACGTCCTTGTATAACTCCGGAAGCTCCATACCTTCGCTCTGCGCTATCATCTTCAAGCCGAACAAGTGCCGGTCGACACCCTGACCGGACGCAGCCTGCACACACAGTGAAAAGAAAATCGTTGGCGGTTCCTTTGGGGTTTCCTTTAACGTCGGTTTATCGTAACGCGCATTTGAGCTCAGGAGGGAGTTTAACGTCCGTCTCACCTGTCCGGCATAATCCTTGTGAGCATTTATGGCTCGGAGCAGCATCGCCTTTTTTTGCTCCTTGCTAACTGCGTTGCGGCGAAGCATCATTTCCGCGAATTCGACGGACTCGACGGAGGTGGACCTGATGCACTCGGTCCTGCTATTAATGAATCTTCGCAAGGCCGCGCTCTCGTAATGAGCCGGCGGCTTTTTATGCAAATTATAGAAGGTCACTTGCATTGCGATCTGAATGAAACTGTCGGGGCTGAATTTGACCGCCTTTATCGCGTCCGCGCCGAACTTATCGAAGGTGAAGCACTCCATGTCTAAGTCGTCGGAGAGCCTGCAAGATTATACGTATATCACGCTCTTTTTTTTACGTGCACTCTATAAGCGCGAGATATTCCTAGAATACTACGTCTAATATTCCAAGAATACGCCCGGAGAATATTACTTAATATTGATTAATATTACACGCAAGGAAGGGTAAGAACGAACTCACTTATCCACCGTGACCGTGGCTTTCTCGATTGCGCACTCTATAGCGGCGTTAATTTCGAATTTCAAAAGTTCCGCTCTCGGGAAGTCGGAACATTCGCTCGTCACATCTCCTCCCACTGTTCTGAAAACAGACCGGAGGTACGACGAGCATTACGAAATATCTTACACATGTTAGATACATATTACACATCTATATCATACGTATCAGCGATACATATGTAACGATTGTTACTAACATGTACTTCAACACGTAATCGTGGAGAACGGCAACTGGAATACCCTCACACGGACTGTGTTCGTATTCCATACCGATGTAGCCATCCGCTGATACTATGTACTGGAAGATATTTTTACTGTAAACCGTTTCGCCGTAAAAGTAAAAAAAAAATAAACGTAAATATTAAGTATCTTATTAAGTGATCTCCTCTTGTCCGTAATCTTGTCTTAAGACGCATGCGGCAAGCAAATTGATCAAGCACGTTTATTAGGGAAATAATAATAATAATAAGACTGTGACTGATCAATTTACTCACTGTTTACTGTCTTACAGCAAGGTTGTCAATAAGAGGTCCATCATTCGATCGAGAAGCAATTTAATGGCAATTCACCTGCACGGTCTTGTCGTGCCACCTGTTAGCCGCATTCATGCGACTGTTGAAGCCCGTCATGGTCTGAACCGCTCTGACGGAAGCGTTATTCTTCCCCTTAAACGCTTCTTTAGGCATATCCTTGTCCAGACACAGTATAAACAGAGACGTTTCTATATCCTTTATTATATTCTTATTATTACCCAATTCTGGAACATACGCAAGCAATGTTTCAACAGGATGATCAGAAAGAAGGACGGGAAGAAGAGGAAAAAGAAAGAAGAAACAAACCCAAGAGCATCCTGCTGTCTATTGCCCAAGTATCTCTGTCGTTGCCGGTCAAAATCCCCACAGGCTTTCCTTCCGTACGTGAACGATTCACGATGTCCTTCATAGTGGCCATAAGTCTACCCTCGCTCACAATTTTATCGTCTTTATCGATAACGCGGAGCTTAAAGAACTACAACGTACGCGGACAGAATATAAGTAGCCGTCTCATATCATTCAACTAAGATCACTGTACTTACGTTATTATTACTTATGATTATTATATGCTCGGCTTCATCCGTATGCAGTAGCTTGTCGATCCCTTTGTCGGGCCGTCTGTGTGTGCCAAGTATCATACCGTAAGGCTGCATATCAAGTGGCTCATTGCGAACCATTTCCTGCTTCATCTTTCCACTGCGATGTCGCATGCAAATTGCATTGTACGTAAATCTGAATAAAGAGGATACGAGAGACTTTTACAGGCTTACCTCTTGACAATCTGATTGTAATCGAACACTCCGGCGATAAGACGTGCTGCGAATGCATACACATCCTCGCGTTTCTTGAAGGTGATCGGCGGCCCGACTGTTCCGGGACTGGAATGTACGATCACCGGTGCACGGTATCCCAGATACGCGACTTGCAACCACCATTCTCGCATCTAGAAGCAAACCGGTTACCAAAATCTAACCTTTGATCTGAAGGAATGGATTTAGATGGAACAATCACCCAATTATCGGTGTTCTGATATTTCTGTAGCAACTTAGCGTGCAATCCTGGCCCTACACCAGAGTCACTTATGAATTCACGTACAATTTTTTCTGTATTTTTGTACTCCGTACCAGTCAGTAGTGGCTTTAAGGACCTGTGAGATCAATGAGTTACATAACGATGATATAATAGTTGAGAACAAGATTGCATATGAAGGAAATACTTCAAGTAACGCTCTGCGGTTTGCTTGAGATCCGGCACAGGTTGCTTGGGCAATGGTTGCTTATTTAGGCTCAATGTTGTTATCGATGACCCATGCAAAATTGGCGGCACCTTAAGCATCCCATTGTAGACCTGTTGATTCGATTTACTTTTGTGAGAAGATATCCTGTTCTTCTCTTATAAAATATATACACACATATATATACTTACTGTATATTTTGGTATATTAGAAACTACTCTGTACATAACCGGTTTTTCTAAATAACTCGAGGCTAATCCCATTGTTCTGCCAAGGAATAAAAATTTAAAGATGTATAGTTACAGGTAACAAATACTATGACTTAAATAGGTTGTCACTAAACCAATATTTGAGCACAGTTTATTAGGTATGAAACACACATCTCACTGGCAACGAATAAAGGATTAAAAATATCTCCACAGTTATATATGCACATCACGCACACGCATATATACACACCACGCCTCTCGAATGCACTTGAATAGTGTGCACGAGCGGGATAAATTACCTGCGATGATGAGTGGACTCCACAATCAATGTAGATCACTATAAATTGTTGTATCATGAATAAGGCCAGATACCAAATCGATCTGATCGTAGTGACACGGATATCTTATGTATGTGACATATCATCCCGAACAATTAAGATTAACAAGCATCAATTTGTGATATACATACGCATCCATATGGCCGAGAAATTCAGTTACTTTACACCGGCAGTTTCTCGAGCAAAAGGGCTGATATTTTGTCCTGAACGAGTATCTCAAAACTCAATTACAAAAAACGTCAATCGTCACTGTCATCCGCTGTTTTCAATCGCCGTCAATAAAAGCCACTCTCTATTGACGGACTTTGGACCGAGTCTTATAGCGTCCAATGAACTTTGACGCAGACTAAACCGGTTTTTCAACTTTTTCCATATTAGACCGGCGGAGATATTATACATAGTTGCGCTTTCTGCGCTTCATACTTTTGCAAGATTTTTTAAATCTTGTCACATATTTGTTATATTCATTAAATTGTAACATTTGCTCACATGCTCTATAAAGCGATTAAAAATAGTTGAACGACTGAACATACGAATATTTTCAACATACAATAATCGTAATCCTTGCGGGTTCATCGACAACGCAACGATAAATTATCCTCGTCTGAATTTTCTCGCGACATAAGTTACTTAAAAGTTTGAGTTTTTCAACACTCGCGCGCACTTTCTCCACTTGATATTTATTTTTCCGATTTTGCCGAAAGATGGCGTCTGTTTCCGCTGTTCTCGGAGGTGGCTCTTCTGCATTTCCATTGTTCCCAGACTGAGGCCATACATGTCAGCCATCGGTGTCAGTGGTATCTGTCAAAGGCGATATTTTATAACAATTTTGGTAACTTCCTGCAGGATCCCCGAGCGGAATTTACGAGAATCCTGAAAAATGGCGGACCCAAAGTACTCCGAGTTAGCCGGGAACGTAAGTTCTTTACGCGTTAATTTGTCGTATTTTTATACGTCACATTATGTCACTTGTACGAGTAAAATACGTACGATTTTGTACTTCATTCTGTTCGAAATAAACATTGCAGACGTATGATCAGCAAGAAGACGCCAAACTGGTCTACGAGACGAGTGACCTACCGGAATCGGAGCAAATGCCGATGTACTGTGAGGTAAAATGTAGATCTTTCACTACATTGTGTGTATATGTGTATATATGTGAGATACTTATTACACTAATATATAATTGATCTACTTAGGATGAACCCGACAGCTCTTGCGTGGAACAGTTACATATCAGTGCTAAAGAAGCGTTCAACAAGTTTAAAGGCAAACAAATCATCGGAAAACATGTTGATTTTTCGGATCGTTTATCGTACAAGCCTAGAACGGGATACAAGTAATTCGAATTTAATTACGAAGTTAATTTAACGAAATCTGTCAGTTTGCACAAGAATCTGTACTATCTGAATATTTCCAGATTTGGAGATTGGGACTGGGAACTGGTCAGTCAGGGTGAAAAGGAATCGCCTCTGCAGAAGTACCAACGATTGCAATGCGAAATCAAGGAATTGTACGAAGAAGTGAACGAGTTAAAGGTGCATGGATGTTCCTAACAAATAGTCGTGTAATAATCATTTTGTAGTTTCAAAACTGACGTTAGTAAATGTATGCGCTGTTAATGTATCCAGGAAAAATCTAAAGACGAGCAAGAAATCAAGTCCGCTAGCGAGATCATCTCTCAGACGCAGCAGATAGAAAAGCAGTTAGTTTCCTTGAAACTAGAAGAATGTTTAGGACCTGACGTTGTGGCGAGTTTATCAGATCCACAAGGCACTACACTTAAGTATGACATCTAAGAATTGTGACGTCTTAAATTTCTTGTCTTAAGTATGCATACATAGGTGTTATATTAATGTTTCCCAGGCAGCTGATATCACAGATAGAGTTGTTTAAGCAAACCAGCGTGCCTACGGCTAAGCCATCATCGGAGGACGTGAAAACGGACGAGTCGGGTGAACGCGGTATTCTGAAATATCAGATGATGTATCTTCCTGAGAAGGCAAGGATGCAGGAAGTCGCTAGGGTTGCACAACTCGAGCAGAGACTCTGCTGCCTAGAAAATCTCATAGGTACGAGTAACGACAAACTCTCGAAATTTTCCCAGGTACGTAGCAACTTTTTGTGCACGCATATTTCAAGCGAGATCCTTCGTAAGTTCTTTCCTTTTTAGTATCTGAAGGCCCAAGGCATAATGGACTCCGTACAGCAGCTGGAAGCAAAGGCTGCGTTGTTGGACGTTAGTCAATTGGATACCATTGAAACTAGATTAGGTACGTTGATTTACCGGATGGATAGCATCGCGCAAAAAAAAGCGGCAGCGGCACAAGATTCAGAACAAGAACAGAAGGTACGCAGGTGTAGTGATCGCCGTGACTATCCTTGTTCAGTGATGTCAGAAGCGAGAAAGCGCATGCCAACATTTTCTGCCTCATACTTTCAAAAAAGACATTAAACGAGGACAGTCGTAACGACTACTCCGGAGCTTCAATCATGAAAATCAGTGTCGCAATATCGTTCTGCGTAACGAGCTTATTTTTCCCGTAGATTTCGGAGATGTATGAAATAATGAAGAAGACGGATGCTATATCGCAAATCTTACCGCAAACTGTGAACAGGTTGCTGGCACTCAGCGAGATTCATCAACAAGGTAAAATGATGTTTGCATTTGAAACGCTTACAATTGTAGAACAATTCTATAGAGAAAATATAAGAGTATGTGTACCGTGTATTTTGCAGCTGCAACTTTCAGCAAAGCTTTGATGAGACTGGAAGAACTGCAAGCGGAAATCACGTCGGGATTGGACAGTAATAAGTCTCTGTTGAAGGGAGTGCAGGAGAGCTTTGCCTCGAATATGGAAATCATAAAGAGCAACATAGCACTGCTGGACGAGCGGGTCAAAAAACTTAAGAAGTGATTAAACGGATATTAAATCTAGTTACGAATGTATTGCTAGGTCGATTCGATTTTCTCCGATCGCTTTTATTCCGGAGCATTCACACACTCCTGCGAAGTTAAGTTATTGTTTATTATTTAACATAATTTGTAAATTTCGTTTGAATCATACGCAATTGCTTTACTCATTGTTAACTTTTAAGTACTTCGAGTAACACGATTATTCCATTTTTCGCAGTGGTGTAGTATGTAAAATAATACGAGCCTATCTAAAAAAGTTGTTTTGGTATAACGCACGAATGAGAAGTATATCTTCATATATATGGCATACTAAACTAAAATAAACTGGAATTCCAGTAGAAAACATTGCAAGTTTTATTGAACGCTGCACATGAACGATGGACGAAATTCAATTCTGGCTTATATTAACTAAACAATAATTTTCATAAAAAATAAAATACAACGACTCCATACAATTTTGGTATAGGATAGTAAGATAGAAAAAAAACTGTATTCTCTTTTCACATTTGTGTCAGACTTTTATTTATAAACAATTAGAATCTTAATTTCTGGAAGAACCACTTGTTCTTGCCGTTTTTGTACCTGGAAGCAGTCGCAGAATCAATTGTTAGGTAAGAAACGATGCACAGAGAGTTCGTGTGGTAATGGAAAATGATTGAATTACATACCTCTCCTCAAATTTGACACGGGTCTGGAAACGAACCTTCTTGCGCTTCATTGGGTCCTTGAGATCCTTTGGCGCTACTTTGTCCAATTGTAGGTCTACGGTATATCTCGTTGGCATTAGGTGGTTGTAATTTAAGATCTGAAATATTTAATGTGAATAGTAAGTTATAAGAATTAATAGTTGTTCGCATTATTAAAGCCACTTCTAACAAGCTTAACTGTCGACATATGTTATTAAGGTCTCATCTTCGAGTAATCTTCAACAGGTTTTAGCCATTGCTCATTGTTAAAAAGTTACCAACAAAAGAAAATGAAAATGCTCATTCTCAATACTGTTCATTCAATCAATTTATGAGAAAATATCTCTGTAGATTCTTGCTTAAGTACAAAACTTATGCAGGGTCCAAAAACATTATATTAAACAAAGAAACAAAAGAATAGGTTGTAATAACGTGTATTTTAGTAAGTTGTGTCCTGTTAAATATCAAGTATCATATTTTTCAAACTTCTTTTATTATTTCTTAACAACTTTTTAACAAACGAATGAATGACAGCTAGAACCTTCTGAACATTGCTCGGAGACAAAACCTTAATAGCTTTTGCCGAAGTCGAGCTCATTGGAAGCTCATTTGGTAATCTGAACATTTCCCCACAAATGATCTCATTAAAAATGAACACGAACAGAAGACATAATGAACGGAAATATCACAGAAGAACGCATTTCAAGATGTCAAGTTAAAAGTTGAAATTTCTGAATATAAGAACTTGTGTGAGAGAAATGTGGAAATTGACTGGGAAACTTACTTTAACAAAAGGCTTGATCTTGGAACGTTTATGCAACTTGCCCTTTCCCATCCTCTTGTGGACCTTGCGCGGGTATCGGTCGATGCCAGCAACCATGGCGTGTCCGTACTGCTTATCCGTAGTACCATCGTCGTAATTGCGCATAACGATGGCTTTTCTTCCCGCGTACCGGCCACTGAGGACCAGTACGACTTTCCCCGTCTTCATAATCTTCACCATCTTGAAGATGTATGCTAGAAAGAAAAAAAGAAAAAATAAGCAATCCTAAAGAAAGAGTGCAAAAACATATCGATATATCCTCGCCGCAATTTCTCGCATACGCAATCAAAGTTAGCGAATAATTCTTCCTCGAAATTCCTCTGGAAACGCGACTATTATATTTAAATGTACTTTTCATTCAGCGATGTAAACACTTCATAGCACTAGCCGTCACATAACCTTTCTATCACATGTGAAACAGCAGGAGGCTTGCGATTCAAAATACCACCGGTGCGACGTTACAACGAACGACAAAGCCGCGAGAGATAACGACGATTTAACTAACAACTAATTGATTATTGACAAACGCGATGCGTGATTTTTCCTTCTCAATTCCCCGAGCGAGAAATGCGCGATACGCGAGTGTGTAAGGTTAATTTCGACTTTGCCAATGGACATTTTTATAAAAAGATCCGAAAAGTCGAGTAATCAGTACACAAACAGAAATTACGATGCGTACTAATTACGAGTGTGACGCGAATTCGGGAATGAATCTCTCTGATATCCCGATGTTCGCAGATAATTTTATCGCGACCACGAGTAGGACGAACCTCACGGCTCTTCACGCCGGAAAAAAGGATGTTTCTCTGCTCTCGAGCGTCGTTACGAACCCGTACGGACAGATGTCGCGCCGAACTTCACTTCCGGGAGTACGCCAGAACGGTGCGTTCAGGAAACGCAACGGACGTTCAGCCGCTATCATCTTTGATCGAAGTGTTCCCTTAGATCCACGATAAATCTAAAGGAATGTTCCAATGACAGTGAGCGCTCACTTAAGCCCGTGTCAGACTACGGATTGGAGATTGAAATTGAATTGTAATTTCACCAATCAGCGCAAAGTTCACTATAATTTCATTAGACTTGAGTTCAGTTAACACTTAACTTTGCACTTGATTGGCCAAATTCAATTCAATCTCAATTCCTATGGTCTGATACGGGCTTTAGAGCTGTTGCGTTTCCTGAACGCAGCCCGCGACTGCACGTTAAAGTTTGGTTAACCTCCGCCAACCTCTTCGATCATTTGATGATGCAAACCGTTTAGGAAGGGGTGGAAAATGTCAACGAGCAATTAGATCACGCTGACTTTTAGGACATCCATAAATTGTAGGCAACGTATTCTAATGAGGGCGAAAGCAAGGTAATCGATAGTATCAAATAGGTTAATTATAACCAAATTTTCTATAATCAGACGAGATATTTGCATGATGTATTCTGCATTGTTAATCAGTACAAATTATACATTCTGATTTATTAACAGAATAACACGTCAATTTATATGTGACTTTTGCACTTCCCGTTAAATAATTTATTCCTTTTTTTCTCTTGAGAAAAGGTCGGAATCGTTTAAATGCGAGCGATTTTTAGTTCAAACGTAAAAAAAATATTAGAAAGTGCAATTGTGCGGTAAATTCAACGAAGTCGAGCTCGTCATTGAAATACATCGCGAATGACGTCATTGCATCTCCACGGTGTCAATCGGATATATCGCATAAATTCAAATGTCAATCGCGTCAGTTTCAAACGAGCCAGTATATCATTTCGACATTTATCCATGAATAAACGCCGAAAGACGCTTTAATGCGGACTTAAATCGGAAATGAGAGGTAAAGTACAAAATTTCACGAAACAACATGCATCAGAAGCAAAATAATGTAGCGTGTCTTGTCTAAATTGAATTTTTTTATTCACACAGATCGCCAGACAATATCGAAAAGCGGGGCATAAGGTGTCTTTCAGACGTCTTAAAAACGATTGAAAGACGTCTCATATTACGATAACTTAAAGATATCTAAAAAACACCTTATGTCTCGATTTTGGACATTTGCGTTGCCTGGATCCCGATATTAGGGGAAAACTGAACGATCGATCTTCCTCGGTAGCGATATTTTTACCATGTTAGAAATACGATGAGAATCAGATTAATTCGACGGTTATAATTACTACGAGCGCCAAATTTTTTCAGACTATTAATAAATATCGCCAAATACCGGTGCAAAGTAACGACTACCGAGTGATGAAAGATATCTTCCCTCGGGCGGGCAAACAGTATTTGCAATTTATAGCTATTCTTTATTATTTACTATAGCTTCCGTTTAATGACTGCTTTTTCCTCTCCGGGCTTCCATTAGAAACGGCATAAATCTTCCGCCTCTCGTAGCCTCTCCTGGAGAGCGTGGGTCGCCGCTTCTTTCTCTCTCTCTCTCTCTCTCTCTCTCTCTCGTCCTACCCGCAACAAGTGTTCCTAATCGATACCGCGCGTCCTGCGAAACCCTTCCACGACGCAACGCGAGGAGAAGTTCCAGAAATTTTTCATCCTCACGCTTCGCCGATCGGCGATTATCCACCTTCGCCTTTGCGCGACACTCCGGTCTCGCCATTATTTATATACCTTTATTTTTCCGCCGAAACGCCTTAGTTTCGACAAGACGCGAAAAATAGAACAAACAGTAGTTCAATGAAACTATACTATGCGACCTCGCCGTCGACCGTGTTCGCCGCGTCACCGGTGCGAACGTTCCCGTCCTTTTCCCTCTCTTTACCTCTAACAATGAATTTCCATCATTATAGGCATCGCCGCATTGTTCACACCATCCCTTTCGATCCGTCAATTCGGTTGACGTTATCATTTATCCTCCCTTAGATGTTCCTCTTTATTGTCGACGATGATGGCAGCCTATCTCTCTCTCTCTCTCTCTCTCTCTTTTTCACCTTCCCTACTTTTAACTCCCGCCTCCCTCCGTCGTTCCTTCCCTCTCTCTCTCTCTTTCCCACTGTCATCATTTTCCGTCTTTGTCTTTGCCGCTACCCGGCTCTGCCGCTGTCGACGGCGCGGTGCAATCGATTTCAAATCCGACGCACGCCCTGCGCCTCGCTTGCGCGTCGCCTGTTGTACCTTCTCCTTATTCCTCGGCGTTTCCAGTCAGTACTATCGCTGCGGCGGAACCGGCTGTCCATGGGGTACGGGAGTCCGTCTGAGCCAGCACCGCCGAGTGGTCGACCGTCAGTTCGACAGCAAGAAACTGTGGTGGTGGTGGTTTCTCGTGTCGGCGTGTACGATGTGCAGAGTGTGAAGAGACTCCGCTGCGTCACGCCCAGGTAAGCCGCACTATTTTGTGTACACCCTTGTCTCACCCTGCGTACACCCTTTATTTATTTTCCAAAGGTAAATTCTCGTGCGGATGTTGCTCGTGTCTGAAACGATCCTTATTAATTATTCCTTCGGAAGCGAACAACTTTAGGTTGCGCTTACGAAGCAGGAGATTTGCTCGCTCGTGTTTTTCAGAGATATCAAGATTTTTACATTTAAATTCTTATTATTGTTACGAGATATATATATATATATATATTTTTTTTTTTTAGATGTATAAACAGAGCAGTACTTTCTAGCAAAGGGAGTTAAAGGACGCGCAATTTTTCCGTCTTCTCTCTGCAGCCGCAGTGTCGAACGTAACCGCAATCGCATCACCGTGTATTTATATTGCGCATTTTAGCCGAACGTGGTATTAGGTGCCATTCACCGTGTCGCCGCGTGTTTACGTTGAGAGCGGCACCCCTCGCGTTAAGTAAACCGAACTCGCGCTCGCATTTAGCAACAAGTGCAAAAATATAACACGAATCATGAGGATCCTTATCGTCGATAGACTGCCGATAAAACCGCGCTTCCCCACTCCCGTAATATCCGCGCGAGAATATGTATATTCCTGGGAGCTGGAGGGTTGAAATCGGATGGCGCAGCGGTGCGCAGGCTTCCTCAGGGGAATGTTAATTTGTCCTTGATGGAAGGTGAACGTGACTACAACCTGATGCTTCGTTATATATATATATATATATATAAGTGATGATCGCGGAAAAAGGACACTTCGCGGCGGAGAAGCGAGACAAGAGTTCGGGGCGGAAATTAGAAGTTAAGAGGAGCCGAGAGAGCATCAACGATATGATTTATTGTTGGGAATTTCTGCTCGTTACCGCGTTACGAGGAGGAAGATGAGGAGGGTTTATCCTGTAGAGCGGAAAAGACGACGCTGCAGCCGCGCAGGTTAACTTCCGGTGGTCTCAGGCTGAAATGGAACGAAATTATAGTGCCGTCTTCCATCGAGCCAGCCAGTCCGCCGAGAAACGTAAATTATTCCACGTTGCACTGCTTTTGTTAGATTCACATTCGATCCGCGGCCACTGCACTCCACAGGGCGATGCACTCTCCGAACAGTGGTAGTACTTACACTAGCTCTAGAAACCTCTAGAAACCTCTGCTGCCTGGAAGTTGCCTGGTGATAGTTCGACGTACGAAAGTAGGAAACGTAATCTGTTCGGACGAACTCAGCCAACCTCGACGTGACGCTCTCGACGTGGAGTCGCGGGGGTATATTTGTCCGTTCGAGGGACTTAAAAATATCCTCTCCCGCATCCCCGTCGATCTTTCAACTGTCGGAGGACTTCTCAATAGAAGTGCTACGCAATATAATTACTTGCACACCGTATTATATTATCTGTGACAGCGAAGTATTAGATAATAGAGGCAAGAAAGAAGTCGCGCACGCTCTCGGTTATTATGTGCGTCGCATTAACTCGCGAGGAGGATCGTTAAGCGTCGGTCACTCTTCGTCGTGGAGTAAAAGGCGGCGACGACGATAAAATTATCGTTAAATACGGGAAAGAGCGACGTAAAGTGACGTAAAGTGGACAATTCACAATTGCAGGAACATCTATGGGCCGTAAACGGTGGTGGGCTGGAGGCTTGGAGCTGCTGGTGCTCTGTATCCTGCATCACGGCGTTCTGGCTGATGGCGACGTCGGTAAGTACAATGTCGTATTTTTATTTTACTGAATTACTGAATGTTGCCTCCGAGTGAGCGAGTACGGAGATAACGTTCGACGCCGTCGAGAACGTATATTTACGCAGTATGTAAAGGGAAGTACTCGCGCGCTCTTACGATCTCACGCTCACCGAGTCAGCGCGAGAAGTATTTCATTCCGAGAGGAATGCGGGAAAAAAGTGATTATACGTTAATATATAATTATACAAGATCAGATATGTGAATTTTGCCCATATATGTCTATGCGAAAGAAAAAAATGATTTTACGTCATTTTAATTTTAAATGTCGATATCGCGTGCTGTCAGAGGCACAAGTAGCCCGAACCATTACTTCGATTCGTATTTACGTATGATTTGTAAACAACAGTATCATTTCGCTGTGGACGTATATGATTATATATATTTCATATATGATCTTTTTCTTCTCCGCTTCTCGCAGAGATATTCTCTCCTGTTTCGATATATTTCGAGAGAGATAAAATAGACACTTCTGCGAAGTCTCGGCGAAGTCACGGCGAAGTCACGGCGATTATTTTCCGTGTAGATAAACCCGGAAGAGCTGCGAGGAGATATAGGAGAGGACTCGGGCGCACTGTTGATTAAGTCGAAGTCGAGAGTCTCTCTGTCCCTTCTCGTGGAAAATTTAAGCTGCGGTTTCTGCCTGTCTTCCCTGAATTTTAATGTCACAAATCTCTCGCTAATTAAGTCCACGGGGAGCTCCGTCGAACCTCCGTTGAAGATAACAGCTTCACTTATCCCTGGAATCCACAAGCGGATAAACTTTAAGTCTCTTTTAGGGCCGATATATCAGCGATAAAGGCTCTTAAAGGGGCCGGGAAGTATATGTACCGTTGTGTAACATCTCAACTGGTGAAGCCTTACCCGCTCGATATGCGAAATCTATCTATCTCGTAACCGACTCCTCGTGATCGAACGGAAACTTCGTGCGCCAGAAATAAATGCGAAGATATGAGACGAAACAGCGAGGAATACGTTACCAGATAGCAGATCGCAAACACGCTCAGAGGATGATGTAAACTTCCCAGATAACCAGACCCGCGGAAGCAGATATTGCGCAGATCTGCCGTTAAATTTTGCTGGCATCTTGCTAGCAAAAATATAACAGGATCTGCTAACAGAGTATCATGACAGATCGACGGCAGAAATCCGAGCGGGATCTGGTTATTTCGTCACCATTTAAATGTACTTTAATGAAACGGATACTGGAAATCCTGCCCGCCAATCGATTAAGCGACGTCCACAATGGGGGATTTAAGACGTAAGCCTTAAGAAATTTATCAATCACAGTCGATTGTTCTCCTCATATTCGACTACGATTGGTTCACTTTTTTAAAGCTCACGCCTCAAATTCTTATTGTAGACCTCGCTTTATACAGCTATGTTAGCACCTAATAACCGAGAAATTATCAACATGATTTTATTACAATAACATTTTGTAATGTTTTCAAATATGCCGTTTCTAATGTTGTATACGACACATACATTGTTAACACACACGATATCTGACTCCAAAAATAACATCTCTCTACACTATGACTTTAATATTTAGGAATATTATATATTACCAAGTAACAGTTTAAAGGCACTTATAAAATATTGTCGAAATGTTTGCAAAATCCACTTGAAATCAATGTTTCAAAAGATCGATTTAACTTTTCTTTCTTACCGGACAGGCTGTGTCGACAAAGCACGAGAGTTTAACGCAGATAGTTACGGATCCGCCGTGCTATTCTGAACGAATCCGCCGCCGAGCACACCGCTAGCATTTTGCTTACCGGGCTTAGGTCTGTAATTCGAATCAATGAGACAAGTTTGTTGAAGCATATGTTTCTAACGGTACAGTAATTCGCTCAACATATGGCGTGTATCGCGTCAAGTTGTTCCGCGCGGTATATCTTGATTTCTTCCTGAAAGTTTCCCCGGTGGCTCGGGTGGTCCGTTTCTCGATATCTTCACACGCGAGAAGATAAGTCTCACCTGCACGTCCGATCGACGTTTCATATCTCGGTGATACGTGGAGGTACACGAGAGGTTGCTTGCGGAGGTGTTAACATTGATCCGCGCCGGTAATGGTTGACGCCCCGTTAAGTTGCCGTGATACTTTTCTGTGAGTGCCGTATGGTCATTCGCGAAGGTGTATCGATTGATTAACATATACCGAGAGAAAGAAGAGCGTGAGAGAGGAAGCGAAACGCAAGCGAGCGTGATTGAATGCGTGGCCCCTAATCGAATCGCGGAAGGAGGCACGTTTGTCCTTACGAGGGCGACAAATAATCGGCAAATTCACTTAAAAGTTGCACAATGCTGCGTAAGGGGGGAGGGGGGGGGGATTTCATTAACTGTGACGCGCGGTCAATATTGAAAGAGCGCGGAACTATAACGAAGTTTTAGGGTCGTAACCCGATTGGACATTAAACGAGTCCGTTTGATGCCGAGATTTATTCGTCTCGTATGATAGTCATGTACGGTCGCTATTTCAGCTTGAGAATCGAACACGGCCGTGTTTGTGCTCTCGAATGTGAATTTTTATTGTGAAATTTTTATGACTGTAGACAGAAGCAGAGAATTGGTGTCGATAGATTAAATTACCACAACGTTATAACGTCCGGTCTTTAAAAGTTCGAACATTCTCAACCCGAGGTATCTCTGCCGGGGTTGACGTCACCGGGGAAGAGAGAAGAAAGAAAGGGAGAAAAAGAGAGAGGGCTTTGTCTACCGATGCTTTGTTCCCGGCGAACTTTTTCACGGCAAACCGGGATTAGGGTCGTCGATCCTCATTGATTTTTCCGTTATCGCTCTCTCTCTCTCTCCCTCTCTCTCTTTCTCCGAATATATGCTCGTCGCGCACATATAAGCTATCGCAAGCCACACGCCGATGTAAAGCTCGCCATAAAGCCGAGAGGGATTACCGGCGGATCGGACATCGCGTAATCGACATTTGGACGACAATCGTCGCATGTGTGTCAATTACAGATTGTAAAGGATGAATTGCGAGGACAAATATCCTCCTTCCGTCTCGATTACGGGGCATCGATATCGTACGCGATAGCCGTCTGCGATCTCGTTGATCGACAATCGAACAGAAGACGCCATCAGAAGGAAGGGTCGATTCCAGCTCGAGAAGCTCGTGAACTGACGTGACGTAGCGAAATGACAGAGAGCGACGGCGAGGAAAGTGTTGATACGCGCGCTCGGACGCGCGAAAAAGCTTCCGGCATCCATTCATAGCCCCGTGGAACGTCAATGATCTTCGAATTCGGCGCCGATGAAAGCCCGCCCTCCAAAGAATGGAGAGAGAGAAAGAGAGAGAATACCTCCCATATCTCTCTCTCTCTCTCTCTCTGTGTGAACACCGGCTGCCGTGGGGAGGAGTTCGATTTTCGCCCACACGACCACACCACCCCGACAGTTATCGAGCCGTTCATCCCACGCAGCCACCGCCTTCGCAAGCCTCTCCATCGCGCGCGCGTAACGCCGTCTCGCTCTGTCTCTCTCTCTTCCTCTCCCCCCTCTTTCCCTCTCGTCCCCTCCCTCTCTTTCTCTTCCAGTGGAACATCGCGACTCTCTCCGCTTATCTATCTCGCGTAACACCTCTTATCTCGGCCACCCCGCGCAACACCCGCCAACCCGTCGTAGGTCCGCGACTAGTACCACGCGTACGTCGGCGCCCGCTTGTATCCGTGCGGACGTGTGTGTACATTTCGAGCTCTCTGCGTTCGCCGAGGACACAATGCACGTATACGCGTCCGCGAGTCACCCGCTCCCGAGCGGTCCGCCCACGCATGCAACCCCCCAGGCGGAGACACCTTCCTTCCTACCGATGTGTATTCATTGAAAAATATCAGCCGAAGCGGCGCCGTGCGTTTTTGTAACGTGATTGTCTCAACGCGAGCCGCGTTGTCCCTTTGTTTCTACATACAGGAAGCGGGAATATTTTACACGGCGAATCGTTAGCTGGCACCGTAAGGCCAGCGGAAGGAAAAACAAATAGCAATTGATATTCTTCTGTTCGAACAGCGAGAAGATTCGTTAAGAGTATTATCGATTGCTGTTCGCTCGGATGCGTGTAGACGGCAAAATAATTTTGTCGCACTAATTAAATATCGCCGCTGTCGCGACGACAGGTTTTGCCATTACAACGGTAAAATGATTTTCCCCGTGCAACGAATTTCTTTCTCCCGTCTCCCGTAACTATTCGCCGTGCCGGCGAAAATTACTTCCCTTCCCGTGCATCGATCGATCGAGGGATTAGGTGTCAACGCTCACGCCAACCGATATTAGTTCGTACTGCTGATGGAAAGAACCGCGATTCGTAGTTTAAGCTGAAGAAGGAGCCAGCCGGAATCTAGCGTGACCACATGCACTTGCGCGAGCTGCGCGCTCTCGTTGATCGCGCCGGGCGATTTCCGCAAATCTCGCACCCGCACGACCACGTGTGTGACCCGTTAATCGCTTCATCGTATGCAGCCCTCCGGTTCGCCGATCCTTTATGTATCCCGTCCGCATATCCGGATATCATCGATCGCGTTTCCCTCGGCTCCGTGAAGATTTCATTCGGCACAGGTCGCGCGCGGAGCGTCTCAAAATATCCAAAATAATTTACGAAATGATTTATTTCCCGAGGAAGGAAGAAATATAAGCGGCGAAATGTCGAAACGGTTATTCTGGACGAGAAAGAGAGAGAGAGAGAGAGAGAGATCGGCGTTAATTTTCACGTTGAATGAGGAAATTTCTCTTTAGAAGGACGACCGATGAATTCGCGTGCCGCGTATGTTACACGATAAAATTGTGTCATTAAAGCGCGCGGCTCTCCCTTTGAATTTTTCATAATGGCGTTAAATGCACGTGGCTATTTCAGGAAACCAGATGAAATCTGCCCCTGGATATTCTCGGAGAGTATGGAGCTATATTTATTAACCGTTTGCGATATTTCGCGACACAGTCCGCGCGCGGTCGATTGTTCCGTGCGAACGCCCGTGCGAAAGGTTAAATCAGGGTTGCACCACCTGTGTCGAAATATCTGCGTAATTCAGCGAGGGTTCGATGTAAGCACGCTCTCGGATCTGCATTTGACGCACATGTTGTCCGCAGCCCGTACACACGGGGGGTGGCGAGGAGAGGGAGGGGGGAGGAGAATGGGAATTTAATTATTGTAGTTTGAAACTATTTGACCTTTGTCATATATGGACGATTTCTCTCGATACAGCGCATTTATTCTATCTTTGCAGGATGCCTGTTCAGCAGGAACGTGTGCGATCCCCAGACGGAAACGTGCTTCAACGGTAATTACTTCGCGCAATAATAATAATAAATTATAAAATATATAATAATAAAAAGAGAGAGAGAGAGAGAGAGAGGGGGAGAGATAGGAAAGAAAACAACGAGAAAATTGCGATACAAACCGGCATCGACAACAATTTCCCGACGCGTCGGCGAGCATTCCCTAATGTCAATGTCGCTTCTCTTTTCAGATCTGGCATTTGGACGATGCGTGTCTCTGTTCGCGAGTTTAGAAAATGAAAATTTATACCAGTAAGTGGCACGCGCGCATGCGACAAAAATTGCGCTAAAGAGTCGAGATGCGATTCCACGCCGCTCGCTGAATTATTCGCGAAGCGATTCGATCCGATATGCACGAAAGTGCATAATATATACGCACAATATATATATATATATATGCGAACGAGCGAAATTGGATTCCGACCGTTTAATTTGATTGCCGGCTCGTCAAAGCGGGTTAGTCCGCGCTACTTCGCGTTTCCGTCGTCTTTATTTATTCGCGTTAACATTCTGGCGAACGGGCGCGTAAAATTACGACGTAACGAACGCTTAATCGAGCGTACGGTACAGTGTGTTCTGTCGCAGATACAATCTCGGTGCCGGCGAATTGGAGTTACTTGGGCTGCAACTGGAAGGACTGGAGTCAGACGGCTACGAATGGACGCATCCCTTTACACAGTGCATCATACAAACCTCGTTACATAATCTCCGGCAAGGGTAGGTCACCACGGCTGAGGCTAATGAGCCGAGTGGTGGTGGGTGAGCCGATCGCGTCGCGACACGTCGCATTTATTATTTAACGAGACGAAAGCCCGATTTGCTTTTCGCAGGCGAGGCGATTTCCATAATCTTCGTCTCTGCGAATACTTGAAGGAGACGACGCGCTTCGACGAGCAACAAGGCGACCAGCTCATCGGCAAGGTTAGCATCGTAAATCGCAACCACCGCCGAGGGCGCTTTCGCATTACGATATGACTGATATGACGCACGGAGGAAAAGACTTCTTTCGATTTAAACTCCCTCCGTTAAACCCGCAATACTTTTCAATTACCGTGAATGGTTGCAATGTGTCTCACAGATATACCAATTATTTTCCTCCGCTTCTCGAAACAATTTTTCCTTTGCTAGCACTTGGCTAGTAGATCAGGCACTAATAAAAAATAAAAGAGAACAAATTAATGAATGGATTAGGATGGTATTTATTGGATATTTATGTGATGAACGGAGGGTGAATAAAGTTTCTTTAATTGAAACAAACTTGTCTTTTAGAGTCGAACGAATGTTTGATTCAACAAATAGGATAGCTCGGTTTCCCAAATAATATTTTTACGTCGAATAACATTTTTATTCAAACAAAATGATATATTTGATATTAAATTATATTGTTTATATTAACAGACTAAAATCGAATCAGAATTGCTACACACCTGGAAGACCGGGAAACATGGAAATTTAACCCTTTGCACTCGAGGGCTCCGGTGCAGAGCCATTTAAAATTTGTCTTCAAACTCGAGGGCTCCGCTATGGAGACAATGCAAATAACTTTCAGTTCATAACATAAGGACAAAGACAAATCGTAAAAACTATTGTGTATAGGATATTCCGCTCTTGCTATTTGCATTGTCTCCATAGCGGAGCCCTCGAGTTTGAAAACAAATTTTAAATGGCTCCGCTCCGGAGCCTTCGAGTGCAAAGGGTTATAATGTCAGGGAATACCTGGAAAGGTCATGGAAAGATATAAAAAAATCTAGAATTTTGAACTTTCCTCAGAATTCCTTTAAATTCTCTCAACCGTATTTTTTCCGATACTCATTTATTTTTTGTCAGCCTAAATTTGCATTCAGAATTATATTATGTTACTAAACTTTTAAGTTTGTGTTGCTTCTAATAATGTAAGCTGCCTTCCCTGCAGTCTCTGCTTTTAAACGTTATTGTTTATAGATTACACATTGCTGGTAAGAAATTTTCCACTGTCGTCTGAAAAACATGGATAAATCAGGGAAAATAAGGGAATTTTAAAATTCTTTTTTATGGCAATCCTGCAAATAACAAATATGTATACTAGAAATCTAAAGAAATCTAAAGAAATCTAAAGAAACACTTTTTTTCTGTGTGTATATATGTTTACCCGAAAAAAATTCCTCATATAATTATATATAGAATATGTTTTCCATAAAGCACAAATGTTCAACAGACATCCCAGAGACGTCCCAGTGATATAAAAAATCTCTGGAATATCTTTAGGATATCTTTTGACATTTGTGCTGTACAGCTTCATATATAAATATATATAATTATATAAAATTAAATATAATTAAATATAATTAAATATAATTGAATATAATTGAATATGGAAAATTTTCTCCCGAGTACTTCAGTCGCATGTCGCGCACGATTTTCTCCGACGACGACATCGACTGATAGCGATTGCCTCTTGAAAAATGTCTATACATCGCTGCCGCAATAATACGTCCAATAATGTCGCTATCGATTTCCTTTTCAGGCGATTCCCACGGTCGCCATACTGAGAATATCTGCGGACAATGAGAATCCCGAGAGTAATTTGGTCGACGCTCTACGTCGCCCCTCGGATGTCGAGGACAAGTACGAGGTCCTGCCGGTCTTCTACGATGGCGAGCAATCGCCACCGTACAGCCAGGAGTCCGCCGGGCGTGTTTACGGATCCGAATACATGAACTGGCCTGTTGTTGGCGGCAAAAATAATCCTTCGATTAGCGACGAGAAGTACGACGAGTTGTACGGAAAGTTGCGCGACGAGCGCTCGACGTTGAGCAACGATGTCGACGAGCAATTGTATCCACCTAGGGCGCGCCGGTACAGCTTCATCGACTACAGGAGCGGCGACGACATCGACTCGCTCGAGAGTGCTCTGAGAGACGAGAAACTGGCTGAGACTGACGAGGAGAATCCTTACGACGCGCAGCTTTTGTCCGCCGACGAGCTTGAATTCCTGCCGAACGGGAAGTCGCCGGATTACACGTTGCTGAATCCCCCCTCCACGATAGAGGACGAGAGCGATGAGAGAGACGAGAGGGAATATGAAAAGGCGTTCTCCAGGAAGTACAAGCATCCGAGGAAACTGCGGGATTTCGAGTTTCTTGACGCTGCCGCCGGGATGAACTTGGACAATGTGAAGAGGACGGTAATTGGACGCGATGAAAATCTCGACTACGAGGACGGCGGAGCTGACGAGGAGAACTCGGCGGAAATCGAGAGATTACCCGACGACGACGACGACGCTTCCTCGAGAGTAAGCGGGATGTACACTGAGGGTGGAGTGGTGCGACCCTCGAAGCATGAAACCGAATCAGACGGTAGGTTTTTCATCGCCCGGCTAGACCGTGATCCAGCACAGAAGCTTGCGGTTATATTGCAGGAGCATTGCAACATCGCAAGTTGCAATATAATATTATCAAGTTATCGTAGAAACATGGAATTTAATATTTGCAATATTGCAATCTTGCAATGAAACATTGCCACAATGTTCCTACAATCTTGCTGTCCCAGTAAGCAAGAAATCGTTAACACAACGTTATTATAATGACATTTAATAACAAGTAACGTTTTCAAATATGTAGTTCTTAATGTTGTATACAACGTTACTATTGACAATGCTTGACCGAAACATTAAAAATAACTGCATTATAATTTTAATATTTAAAAATATATTATTATCAAGTAACGGTTTAGAAACATTTATCAAATATTGTGTCAAAATGTTGACAAAATCCACATAAAATCAAATGTTTGTGAAATCGGTGTTTTGAAAGATTGATTTAACGTTTCTTGCTTACTGAGGTGCTATATGGGAATTAGCACGGCCTTTGCTAAACGGATACAAATCCGACGCAGGGATTTCGTACGACGAGACGATTGACGACGACTTGAACGAGCTTCTGTGGAGACGAGAGCTGGCGGGCTTCAAGCGCAGAGAACGCCTCGACGTTAAGAAACCCGGGCCCCCATTTTCCACAAATAATTACGCGTTCAAAACTCAATCTCCGCCCAGTAAGTTGCTCATCGAGTATAATGTATGTACGTCTGCCGTTCAATATCCGTTTCGCAATCGATTTTCCATTTAGCTCTAATTGGCCGTCATTAGTAGTCTTTTCTGAAAGATAAAGACGATAATTCGTGATTCACAAATTCTTCGTTGATTCGCGATATCTGTGCTCTTTGCAGCTCCTGATGACGAGGACGATTACTCCGAAGCGGATAATCAGGACGTAAGTGTTAACAAGCCCGATACTTCGGTCGTTAAATTCTGCAGACTATACGTAACATACTGACTGTAGATTATCACATCGGTGTTGCATTGTAGAATAACGAGGTATACGCGCCGTTGACGAAGAAGGAGCTACGCGATAATATGTACAAAGCGAGCGACGCGCCGAGGACGTACAAGAATGTCGATTTGGATTACGTCTACATCGAGTTCGAGCAGGAGTTTCACAAGTGGCTCGAGGGAGAACACGTGGTTGCTAAAGTAAGGATATTAGAACTGGGCAGAACTATAGTTAGAAGTTTTGGAGAATTCGCGCTTGGAGATTAATTATGGAATATTACATTGTTATTAATAATATTATTCTTCAAGTACTGATAGGATGGTAAAATTAACTGTAGGATATGTGTTAGACATTACTTACAGACGGTACATCAAACGTTGATATAAGCTTATTTCATAACCATGAATTTCTGCAGGTCGGACAACTTTTAGAATTACCTCCCGGAACCCTGAGGGACATACGAGTGGGCCGAGCGGAAGTGACGTTCAAAGTCATCCAGAATGAAAAGAACTACAACGCTACCGATGTTGCAAAGAGTATCGGTATGACAATCCATGTATTCCAGTTGTTCCTACGATTCCATGGGTCCCGCAAATATGAAGCGAAAAGGCAGATCTATTTAATTCACAAAAGAGTAAGCTCCGTTTGATTTCAGGTAAAATAAGTGACAAATTGAAGGATGCGTTAGGAGTCGAAGTCGTTCGAGCGGGTATAGGCGACAAGGTTGTATTGCAAAAGATACGTTTATCTTTCTGGATGAATTAGAATGCGTGAAATCAACATTTCACGCGGGACACACCGAAATATATCGCTTCAATATTACCGAGACCAACGAGTATATCTTCTTGCAGGCTAAGTTACCAGCCACCCTGGAGGTAACCAGAAAGAACGAGATGAGTTCCAGCCTGTTCGGGGCACTGGTGGCTGCAGGAGTCGCGGCTGCGATCGCGGCGGCGGCGGTTACGCTAATAATCGCGCGACGCCACGCCAAGTGTCGAGCGAAGCTCGCCGGGCTGGCCACCCCGGACCCGGAGGCATCGAAGGATTATCAGGACCTGTGCCGGGCGAGGATGCAGGCGAAGCAACCGGGCGAGAAAGCGGAGTCGTCGCGCATTACCAGCCTGTCGCGCGAAAACGAGTCCAGCAATATGCCCTCGAATCGGTCCAGCACGTCCTCCTGGGGCGAGGAACCCACTCTCTCAAACATGGACATATCGACCGGCCACATGGTTCTCGTAAGTAGACGCGAGTTCTCTCTAATCGCTATCAAGGCCCTTGCTCCTTCGCTACAGCGTATCAAAACAGATCTAGATTTACTGCTTTGATTTACACTTCCTGTTTACTATTTGTTAATTCAATATTACGGGACCGATTGTTTATACATAATAATTTGCTCGACACATATTCGTCGTTATTATTCATATTCAATTCGATATGCTTGCGTCGTCATTTGCTCGTTAAACGTCATTCATTTCCATACGTTTAGGCGAAGCAGCTGTACAGTTGATGTCGCGCCTTTTGGTCGATTTCAACACAGTGTCTTCGATACTTTTAGATTCTGTAATGTCAGCGACCAATGAAGGGAATATCCTTATTGTTATTTATTGATCGTTGTACTTTACCGCAATAATTTCGCTTCTCACAACAATCTCGCTTCCGCCGTTATTAATCAAAATAGCTCGGGCGGGGGAGAAGCCTTAAAATAGCACAATTTTACGCACACACGCGTAGCATAAAATCGTGTTCGCAGAGTTACATGGAGGATCACCTGAAGAACAAGGACCGCCTGGATCAGGAATGGGCAGCTCTGTGCGCGTACGAGGCCGATCCCGCGTCGACGGAGATCGCGGAGAGAGAGGCGAACGTCAAGCAGAATCGTCCTGGCGCGGCGCTTCCCTACGATCACTCCCGAATAGTCCTGAACGAGCTCGTGAACGCCAACAATTCCGACTACATAAACGCTTCCACGATCGTAAGTACTCCAACGTGACCCTCTTCTTCTCATTTGATTGGTCATCACGCTCCGTCGCGTTGCAATAATGAGCGAGAACGAGATTCCGATACACGAAAGTTTCTGAGTAGTTTCAATATGCGCGAAGGAGGTTGTGACTTGTGTCAAAATAAAATGAATATTTTCGTTTTCACGATAACGTTGCTGAACGTTGCGTACGACATTCGTTTTCCGGCTGCTGCCGCACTGCGATATTTGTAGAAGTCGGTAAGTCACACATATACACACGACGGGCATGCCAAGTTGGTTGATCGTTTGGAAAAAAAGACAAAAAAATCGCAATACCAATACTACGCAATTTGTTCTAATCGTGTGAAAGGCCTAACGCTTTTGCGTGGTAGACACAAACTTAGTGCATCACCATTTCCGTAACGCAGCGAACCAAGTCCAGCATGTTTATCAATGAGCAAGAGCCTTTGTATCTTTTAACTGCACACTTGGCAAAATGTGTGGCCGTATTATGTTCACCCCGATATATCCGCCTCGTAAAAGAGAGAAACTAAAGCAAAAGAGAGAAGTGAGGAGCAACGATGGCAGGAATTTCGATCGCGTCGACACAGCTTTTCCACCCTTGCATCTCTCGATTCGCTCGCCGATCCAGCAGCATAAGCGCGCAGAGAATATACAGGGTGTCTCAGGAACCTGTATAAAATTCGATGAGAATTGATTCGTCTTAAATTAAAAGGTATAGACGTCGAGTGAATCGAAAAAAATTGGAGATTCTTTGGTTAAAATTAAACAAATATAATAACAAACCGGTCGGTACAATAATATAGCGGGTACATAACACGTATGAGTTTCTAAATCACGTTTTATACAGCTACGTTTATATAACATGTATGAGTTTCTAAATCACATTTTATACAGCGCGAAAATAATTTTTACGTTGTTGTTATACCAAAATTTTATCTTCCTCCCAAAATACAATATGATCCGAGTAACATTGCATCAATGCTTTATGTTTACACTCAACGATGTAATTGTTACGTACATATTTCCATATTATTGCACGTATATATGCTATATTGCAGTTACATTGTTGACTACGAAATTATAACATCGATATAAAGTTATGCTGATGTTATACTGGTTACATTTTAAGTTATATAGCCGCGTCGAGTAGGAGGGTTGCCACAGTTCTGAAAAACCGGGAAGAGTCACGGAAATTTAAAATGTCGAGGAAAACCTGGAAAAGTCAGGGAAAGATATAAAAAAAAAACCTCGAATTTCGAACTTTGCTTACAATTTTCTTAAACGCTGTCAACTGTGTTCCTTTTTCCGATACTCATTTATCTTTTGCTGGCTTGAATTTGCCTTTTCGGGATTATACTATGCCACTAAACTTTTAAGTTTGTATTGCTTCTAATAATATAAGCTACCTTCCTTGCAATCCCCGCTTCTAAACGTTAAAGTTTAAGATTACATATGTTGCTCATGGAGAATTCTATCGTCTGGAAAGCGTGGAAGATGGTCAGGGGACTTCAAAATTCATTTCCTGTGGCAACCCCGAATAAGGACAGTATAAGAGCCGATCGTAGATGTAATCTTGCTTGTATTTTGTAGTATAAAGTATAAATTACGCGTCAACATATTTTGCAGTATGAAGTGTAAAGTACACGCGGATAATAGAAATGATCTCGTGGCTTCTGAGGCACTTGTATGAAGATGAAATCCACATGATTCACCGCGAAAATGCCCGACACAGATCGTACCGGCCAAGACCAAGTGGTGTATAATATTCGCTTATTCTTGCAGACGGATCACGACCCACGGAATCCAGCTTACATAGCCGCACAGGGACCGCTACCGCAGACCACAGCTGACTTCTGGCAATTAGTTTGGGAACAAGGCAGCGTAGTGATCGTGATGCTAACGCGGCTGACCGAGGAGGGTCGCGCCATGTGCCATCGTTATTGGCCCGAGGAAGGATCTGAGCTTTATCATATATACGAGGTGCACCTCGTGTCAGAGCATTTCTGGTGCGACGACTACCTCGTACGCTCCTTCTATCTGAAGAACCTGTGCACCTGCGAGACCCGCACCGTCACGCAGTTCCACTTCCTGTCCTGGCCGGAGAACAGCGTCCCGTATTCTACGAAAGCTCTGCTCGAATTTCGCAGGTTAGTGCCGACGAATATTCCGGGCATATTCTTGGGATGCTCGACGTAATATTCTAATAATGTTCTAGTAATGTTATTTAATATCAAGTAATATTTAATATTAAGTATATTTCTGGAATATTAACAGATGGTTATATGTCCACCGCAAATAATATGTGAAAAATAATATTATTAGAATATTACGTCTAATATTCTAAGAATATGCTCAGAATATTACTTAATATTCAATAATATTACGTGCTTATAGGGTCTCTTATTAAATTAAATAAAAAGTTTTCTTATTAAATTAAATAAAAAGTGTAATTAATTGCATTTACTAGATTGTACAGTCGATAAAGAGCCAATGAAACGAGATAAAAACTATATAAAGGCATCTCAAATTACATTTATATATTGTATTTTTCATATTTCAACTATCAGCTCAGCTTTTGTACAATCCATAAAAAAAGTCAGTCCGGCAGTCATCGTGTTAAAGGCAGCCATTAGGTGGAACACAAGTGTTCCTTTGGTTCTATCATATCGTAACTGTTCATTAGGGGAGATATTATGGTCCTTGTAAGTATTATGGCTCCTCCTAATAGCTCCACTATTAGAGGGTGAATTCTAGTGGTTATTTATAGAGTCACTTATTTAATGGCTTGCCGTTACGTAGTGGCGATAATAAATTTTTGTCGGATGCCACATTATCATTTTTGTTTTTCTTCCATCCATCATGCAGTCGTCTATGCCGCTACATTTTTACAGATAATAACGCCTTAAATAATAAATATTTCACAACTTTGGAATCGATTGTACAACATTTTAACGAATGTAAATTCAGTTCTCGATGTAAAATATTGCTTGTCGGCAAAGTTATTGTATAAAATGTAAATGGAGGGCTATAATACCACTTTATCTTTTAATATTTTCACCTTCGGCTTCCCAACCGCGCATATTTTGTCAAGGATATAATAAGAACAATATTGACACTCTTGAAATCTGTTTAATAATCTTTGCTCGCTCTCCAGGAAAGTTAACAAATCGTACCGTGGAAGGTCGTGTCCGATAGTCGTGCATTGCAGGTGAGCGCCCGGGGTTCAGTCTCCGGTGGTTTATATATTACACTTTGGTGTAAAAAACAAAACTGATGTTATAATTTCAATGTTCACGTTACGATCTCGTTACATTGTGATTTCGCAGCGACGGGGTCGGACGAACTGGTACTTACTGCTTGATCGACATGGTCCTAAATCGTATGACAAAAGGAGCGAAGGAGATCGACATCGCGGCCACCCTCGAGCATATCAGAGATCAGAGGCCCGACATGGTTGCTACGAAACAGCAGTTCGAGTTCGTCCTGATGGCGGTGGCGGAGGAGGTGCACGCGATTCTGAAGGCTTTGCCCTTAGCTCCGAGCGAGAAGTCCGCCCCGGCCGCGGGGAACAATTCCTCGCCGCTCGCGAAATCGGAGCAATGAAACTGTGACGCGACGCGAATTCGACCCTAAACAGTATAAAGAAGGCTAGAATTCCTTTTTCTCTCCTTAAAGACTAAGTTGAAGATTGCCCTCTTTTTACTTCCAACTGATTCGATTCGTTTCAAGAATTCGTTGCATTCTCCCGCTTTACGAGGAGTTGGAGTACCTTTGAAAGAGGATTTAGTTTCCGAGCGCAAGTATGAAGCTTCGTACGCATAATTTTAATAATGTAGCACACGACTTTTTATTGTCGCAGTCTTTGGAAGATCCGCTAGACTCCTCTCGGATTCGGATGCCGAGTCAGTTATTTTGTACTCTTCAGGGTTCAAGTCGCGATATCGAGTCGCGAACGGGAGAGGGAGAGCCGAGATACGTAGCTGTTCCATTGATTTCGATGTGTCACGGAAGAAAATCAGATATTTTTAGCTGTTTACTACGATGTACTATTCACTAGGAAGCAAAGCCAATCGGTTTTCTGTTGGGATTTTCTACACGCTTCGTACTTCCCGATGCACGCACACATACACATGATACGCGACACACACACACACACACAACACACACATCGCCCTTCATTAATTAGAGCGCACCGAAGAGCTTATTCTTTCGTATTCCAGCTGTATCTCTTCACGCGAGTGAGAACGATGATCGATCAACTTACACTCCTAACACAAAAAAATATATAACTGTATAATCTCCACAGAGTACGGTTTAAGTGTGATGTGCAGAGAGAGAGAGAGAG